CAGGAGGTAGAAGTGAGCGGAAGGTTATAATGAAGAGGAATTGCAAGGAAAGGCAAAATTTTGCAGAAAACTATCAAAATATTTAGTTTCTCGTTCTAGTAAAAATTACTTAAGAAGCTAGAACTTAAAGATGACAAATGCCACAACCATTTCTGATCTCCATATGATTAAAAAATATTAATTCCTTGTGATTTGTGGATCAAATCACAGAAGAAACTTCAAGCTAAACAAAATATTAACTACTGTCTTTCCTAAAATATTTGAAGGCTTTCTTAAAATACAACTTTTTTCCTGTAGGAAAGCAATGAACAGTAACTTAAAGTGGCACCCCAGTAAGAACCATTTTAGTTAGCTTCTGCATGACTGTTAAGGCTCCAGAGAACAAATATGCATGACTGAACTCTGGAAACAGATGGCAAAAAATTGTCCCCTGTAATTTCAAGTAGGAGTTGCAACACTGAATTGAAACAAAAGAAAACAAAAATCAAAATTCCGCAAGTCTCAAAACATTTCTTCTTCAACTGCCAATCCTGTGGTCTGCTACAAAACTGCATATAGAGACGCATATTCATGCTCCACACAGCAGTCTCAATATGTTTTACAAAGCAAACCATATCTGTTACACAGGCTGGGATCAAATAACAAACCCAAGGATATTAAAAATAAGAAATCCAACTACGAACCAGCAGTAGTTAAAAAAAAGAATCAATGCTTCTCATGGAGCCAGGATTCTCAATTCAAGTGTCTTTACAGAAGACCAGGACATAACTTATTCTCAAAAAGAAGTAGAAATAATTTTTTAAGTTCTAAAGAACTTTTTAAAGTTCTAAATAAGTCAAATTGAGGAAGCCTAGAATCCGAAAAAGTTACACTACATAGCAGATCAGACACCCAAAAAAAAAAAATTAAGTAAAAATAATTTTTAAGTTCTATAGAAATCAGAAGCAACCCACTAAGAGATAAGGAACAGCACATAACTAGGGTGAGTGAGTAATAAATCATCATTAGTTTAAAAGTAATTTCTTTAAATAAAACATGAACAGGATCCACCAAAATCCAAAGACTATGTATATCTCTTAGCATCACTTTCTAATTCTATTTAACATATGGGCTCTGCTGGTAACAGGCAGAAAAATACTAATTTTAAATCTATAATATTTTTCTTGCCAAGAAGCAACATGGTTAGCAAGTCGAGGACATCTTTCTTTTACAGACTGCTTACTGTGTCCAATTAACATGGGGGAAGGACACATCCAAGTGAAGAGGAGATCTTAAACCAAGGGAAATGACCTCACTTATTAAAACCTAAAAAATTTCCTTTAGTTTTGATTGTCTAATTTACTGTCATACATAAGGCTATCTCTGTAACTATTCTGGTTTTGTCATGATTCACACAAATTCCATCACTACATTGAGTTCCAATTCACTAGTTCACTACACTGAGTTCTAACTAAGTTCATTCTGATTCCAAAATTTACTAAGATGTTTTATGTAAACTTAATAATTTCATCCAATCATAATTTATTTATATATATCTAACAAACACTATTTCAAAATTTTATGTCCTATTCTTTCCGTGTGTGCAGATATCAGGACACGTTATTCTGTTTCAATTTTTGTAGCCAAAATTGGTGTTCCACAGTGGCCAAAACTGCAGTACAGTAACAATACGGTAAGGCTCAAGAAACATCCTCTGTGGTTACAAAACTGATGACCAAGCTTTTATACCTTGAATTTTAAAAGCCCAAGAGCGACTTGCCCAAACCTCATTCTTGCAAAGAACAGATTATTACATCTTCACTGTTACAGGTTTTTACACACTCAATTGCAAGTAAACCTCCGCATCTTGTCCCAACTGAAAAAGTGCTGACATTCCCTCTTTCAAAAGTAAACGTGCATTCACCTGCACTTTAACTGGTAGCAATTCTCCATACCAATTAGTATTCACACACAGTTTTCATGAAAAAAGACACAAAAATTACTAATTCTTTGGCCCCTTCCTCCTAAAAAGGCAGTAACTATACTTCTTGCATAGTAAGAGGATACTAGTGATGAAGTATCACGCTTTTCCTCTCCATTCCCATGAAAAAAAAAAAAAAAAGACATTAATCCTGTGTCTCTGCCCCTCCATCTTTCTAACTACAAAAAGCATGTCAAGCTTCACAAAATTTATCATCAGAAGGGAATTAAAAGAAACCAACTGTGCTGATGTGATTAGCATTCTGAATTTGCTAGAATAAACAAAAGGGATTAATATTACTTGGTCTTTCTTTAATTAGCTTTACATTTTGGCCATTACAATGCCTTTGTACAGAGCTGTATCTACAGGCAATGAGGTTTTGCACTACCACTTCCAATAAAATGAAAACTGTAGTCAGTTGTTCCAGAAACATATAAAGTGCAGACAAATAAAAGCTTTACATATTTGCAAATAAAGAGAAAATGTGGCAAAGTTAAACTTACCTCAAATTTAAGTAAGTTAGCATTTGCAAGTTCACTATGGCATCTGGTATAATTTTAATACAATTGTGGTATAGATTTAGTGTCTCCAGTGACACAAAATGGCACAACTCCGTAGGAACCTCAGTTAATCTATTCTTGGATAAATCTGAGAAGAGAAAAAGAGAAGGTACATTTTTTGAACCATCAGAAAGATACACTTTGAAAAGCTACACTTCTTTATTAAAATAAATGAATAAATATAATCCTACAGTGAGACAGCAAATTAAGCCAAGGTTTTTATTATGCAAAATAAAACTAGTGCTAATCTTTACAATCGTGAAATGGAACAGACTGAGTACAAAAGAGCAAACATTCAATTAAAATTTACCCAGTCTAATAAAAAGTAATTATTTGCAGGACTCAATACGCTGAGGAAATACTTGCAAACAGAACCAAGTATAGATTCCAAAGCTTATTTCAAAGCTTACTTTCTAAACTACATAAAAGGAAAAGCAGCCAAAGTATAGTAGATACATTTCCAGAGTGCAAATGATCTGAATCCTCTCGTTAGGGCCATAAAGCAATTTTCTGCAGAAAGGCAGAAGGCTGAAGATCTTTTTAAGTTCCTTTGCAGTTCCAGACTCATCAGTTTGCTGCACAGAGGCACAGCTTGAGTTCAAAACTATCATCAGTAGGAAGGTTTTATTTTTATTTTTGTTCTTGTCTCCTGCAATGCGAGCTGAAATTCGGTACTCTCTATTCCCCTTGTCAGATTCCACTTTGCTACTGACAAAAAGTTGGTTTCATTATTCCACCCTCTAACAAGACAACAGCAATGGCCTACGAGTGCAGTAACTGAGAGCAGCCCTGCTGACCCAAACAGCAGTATGGTTGAATTGAGCACCTCAACCAAAATTATTCACTTCTAAGTTACTACAGAACAGCAATGCTTGAACTGCTCTGCTTTCTCTTACCAGGCTTTGATGGTAGTTAGATGCAGCACTGCATCAGCTTCTCCTTTCCTTCACTTCAGCCATTAAACTAAAGCATTCCCTATTTGTGTGAATGTTATTACTGTTTCAAAGGGGGAGAAAGCTCTTCAGTGTTCCTCTGTTTTCAGTGCTTTAATCCCCTACTGTTTTGTATTCATCATGAGAGTATCTGTTTACTAACATGGCATTCCAAAAAAATTACCACTGGTTCCCTTTCCTGCTGCCTTCCTAGCTATGTTCATTACCGGATATTAACAGAACTGCCATGCTATAGCTTTCTGAATCATGCAGGGGATCTTTGTATTTTACAATTTGATTGCAAAGAAAACCCTCCCTTTTTTTAAACCAAGCTTTTCTACAGTGACATTGCCACTGTACATACTGCTCTTGTTTCTTCCTATAAAGGGGAAGGAACAGCAAGATCCAGAATAGTGAGCTGATCTTTAGGCCTAGGCTGAAGACAACCTGCATGGCACTGGATGGTACACGGAGAGTGACATCTCATCCTTCATCTGACCCTTTTGAAGTGATACACAGATCAAAAACTGGGAACACAAAAATGTTACTTCTTTTCAAGGTACTAAAACTGAAGCCTCCTACCTAAACTCCATCTTCATGCCTGTTCTCATTTACCTTCACATTGAATAAAAGGGACTGTTGCCACAACATCTGAGTTACCCTTGGAAAATTCTAGTACCTCAAAAAAGTGGAACAGCAACTAGATTGACCCTGCTCCTATAACAGACATTACTATGACAGCAAAATGCTTTTTATTTTATTACTATCCTTTGTTCTCGAGGGCTTTAACACTGTTAATCTGAAGCAGGAGAAGACAAAAAAAACCTACAGACCATAACAGACAAATTCCTTCCCGTCATCCTCAGGACCGTGTGTTATAGGACATGCTATGTACACAACAAAGGAATTAAAAAATTAACTTACAACAAAGGAAGCCAAGTATTTGTTATTGTCTAGTTCTCACAGTCTATGATTAAGATAATTTCAACACTTGTATCTATTGTCGCTTCTTAAATAAGAAAAAAACATTTATTCACAGCATAAGGCAGAGGAATAAAAACTATACATTTTATTTAATACCACTGTAAGATAACTTAATAGAAAAAGCAGAAGCTTGCTACTATAGTTTACCGATAAGAGGTACGATTACTACCAAATCTGAATGCCTTTGAGAAACACAGTACTGGAAAGGAATCTGACATACAGAATGCTCGTCACATTTTTTAACTAGGGGCAATAATTTTTGCCAAAACACACACTTCACTGATCAAATGGAAGCAAAATAAAATTTAAAAAGACATGCTGCTTCTTCGATCCTAGAATGAATGTGAGCCTCTGAACATGATGCAGCTGTGGAGAAAGCCTAACAGCTTTCATATGTCTCTGAAAATTCCATACAGAAAATCGCATGCCTTCAGAAATGAAAAGGAAAACAGCCTGCATAACAACTTTATACTGTACCTTAAAAGCATATGTAAACATGTACAGAAACCTCTGAAATTTACATAATTATTTTGATAGTAGTTTATAAGAGGGTACTTTTGCCTCAAATTACTGCAACTTACAATTAAGTCTGTGTGTATTTCAGGTTTACTCTGATATTTAAGTTATAGAACACAATAGAAGGATTAAGCCTTAACAAAACCACAGAACTGTTTGAACATACTGAGAAAGACAGTATGCATGTACCTTGTTTCTGTCACAATACATAAACTTTCTGGAAATTATTTTGCAAAGGCTTTCTTGAGTTCATTATTTAGGGAAAAAGAATACATAAAGTAAAATTTTAAACAACTTCTGAAAATATTTTTAAAATATAGAAATAATTTGTTGGCAAACCTTTAATTTCTTACTGTAATTTTTTAACTCTACAATTCTCAAATCACTAAGCTACATGTCCCCCTTGCTTCATTAATTTGAAGACTAATGCTTCAGGGTAATTAACAATAATGAAGTTACTGTACAGACTAGATTTTGCTACAGAAATTGAAATGAACAGAGGGATGGAATTTGCTGGCATTTAAAGGAATTTCGATTAATTTGCTTATACTATATAGCACAAAGGAGAGCTAACAAATTAATGAATCTGTGATGGCAGAAGTACACTTCATGGTTGCCAAGACAGTGTAGGTACATTTCACCTGAGGTGACATTTCCTGTAGCTTCCATTATGAAATAGGTGACACAAATATAAACAAATGGGGGCAGGCCATGCGTTGGAGTGAGCTTTTTGTTTTAAATTAAATACACTATTCATTCATTATTTGTGACATGAAGATGTTTTCAAACTACATCTGGCTTCACTTCATCTTTTCCTGCCAAGAACAAGTTTGTTAAAACTCCAAAATAAAGTAACGGAACACAAAAAAATAAGCAGGCCAGTTTAGAAAAATATTAGATGGAATTTTGATCTTTAGAAGAGTCAGCACAATTCTGGCTCAATGACATGGCTTTTGTGTGAGAAATGTTACGATGTTGGAAGCTAGACAGGAACTACACAAAACAAGCACTTCCTTAGCTGGGAGCAAACAATAAAAAACCAAAAAGTTCCGACTGGTAAATAAGCATTTAACAGAAGACTCCAAGCCTTGTTTGGTGACTGGCACACCGCACAGTCAGGGTCCACACTGCCATCACACCATGGGGCAAAACCTTTCAAGCCCTGTAGCTCTGAATGTTTCTACCACAATGAAGTACCACCACTGACTAGGACCTTTCTGACTTCATGCTTTACAGGCGGGTTACCTACTGCCACTATACATATACACACTGTATAAAACACTGCCACCGCAGAAACCAAAATGGCACTGTCAAAATAACCAGAATAATACTAGAAGTCATATAGTTACATTCTTTTCAGTAACGTTACCAAAGTGCCTTGATTTTCCTACCTTCTGGTTTATTAATACATTATTAAATACTGGTTATTAATACATTATTCAATAAAAATTGCAGACTATTCATGGGAGAGCTAAACAATTTAAGCCTTCACGTCAGAACAGTAATTCATTAAATAAATATGCATATGCACTACTACATCACAAATCTTAGCTGGGAATTGTAATGAAAGCAGTTTATTAAAAAGCAGTGATTTACAATTTTCAGACTGCAGAAAAATTCACTATAAATTTATACTTTTAACATACAAACCTACAACAGACAAAAGTTGGAATTATGCAAGTAACCATCTATCCACCATTGAGCAGCTGGGGGTTTTTTTATATACATACATACATATATGTATCTCCCTCCAGAGAAACCTAGGTGTGCACTTACCTTGCTGAAATGCCTTTACACCAATGCACGCAGCATGGGGAACAAGCAGGAAGAGCTAGAGTTCTGTATGTGGTTGCGGGGCCATGATCTCATCGCAATTAGAGACATGGTGGGATGACATGCATGGCTGGAACGCTGCCATTGAGGCTATGTGCTTTTCAGGAAAGACAGGCCTACGAGGCGAGGCAGTGGAGTCGCTCTTTATGTAAAGGAGCAACTGGAATGCATAGAACTCTACCCAGGAGCAGATGAAGAACAAGTTGAAAGCTTGTGGGTAAAAATTAAGGGGCAGGCCAGCATGGGTGACACTGTGGTGGGTGTTTACTATAGACCACCCAACCAGGATGAGGAAGTAGACGAGGCCTTCTATAGACAGCTAAAAGTAGCCTCGCAAAGAGGTGATCCGGATCAACTATCCGGATATCAACTGGAAGGACCACCTGGCAAGGTGCGCACAGTCCAGGAGGTTCCTGAAAAACATCGATGATAACTTTCTGACCCAGGTGGTGGAGGAGCCAACAAGAAATGGAGCGCTACTGGATCTTGTGCTGGCAAATAAAGAAGAACTGGTTGAGGATGTGAAGGTAGGGGGCAGGCTTGGCTGCAGTGACCACGAGATGGTGGAGTTCCTGATTCTGAGAGGTGGAAGCAGAACAAGTAGGACTGCCACATTGGACTTCAGGAGAGCTAACTTTGGCCTCTTCAGGGACCTACTTGGAAGAATTCCATGGGCTAAGGCTCTTGAAGGTAGGGGAGACAAAGAGAGCTGGCTGCTATTTAAGCAGCTCTTCCTCCGTGCTCAGGATCAGTGCATCCCTGTGAGTAGGAAATCAAGTAAATGAGGCAAGAGGC